GACACGTGGGCGGCTATTATGACTTTGTTGATATTGATCCAAGGGCTTAAATTTAGCAAGATTTATTAACCTTGCAAATTTTGTAACGGTTGTAATTTTTAAAATACAAAATAAAATAAAATAAAATAAAATAAATCCAACAACTGTATTTTTTTTTTGCCCATAAAATGGGTCTAATTTTGATCTATTTTCACACAATTTCTTTTTTTACATAAATTAATACTCTCATTTTTAGTAATTAAAATCAGTTCAATTTCAAGTTAGTGAAAATAATATTCTTAGGGGATGAATAATTAAAATGAAAATTTTGCGAAGAATTACCATTTAAATAACGAGTTTTGAAAACAACTACCATTTAAAACTTTTGTTTGAAAAAACTACCACAAAAACATAAAAAGTTTGAGTAGCACTACCTTGAATATTTTCGGCAAGAATCTTTGGCTGTGGGGCCCACCATTTAGTATTTCCCTTCTAAAATTCTTTCTCTCTCCTCTATTTATAACTACTAATCTTCGTTTTCCCTTTTTTGCTTATGTTAAAAAAAGTAAAACCATAATCTCTTGATTTCAATCAATTTAGGGTGATAAAAGAAGCAAAATTGTTTGGCGAACTCAAGTCAAGGTAATGTATATCTAATTTCGCATTGTAATTGACACAATTTCTCAATTGAATCTTCAAATTAGGGTTAATGGTAAAAAAAAACTGAAATTGGGGGTTTCTAAAATTGGGAGATTTGGGGCAATTGTTCTGTATCATCCAATCCAGGGTTCATTACTCATTATTTTTTATTTATTTGCAGCAATTAATTGACTTTAACCATGTCTAATTCCTCATGTCAATCAGTTCGTCCTTTCCCTTTAAAAAGCTTTTGCGAAATTGCCCCAAAAATTGTGAATGAAATTGCAAGAGAAAGAAAGAAATGGAAGGTCGAAAGGGGGGGAATATTATCTGAATTACAAAGATGATTAGATGGAAAAGAGTGAATGAGGGTGGATGAATGAAGTTAGGCGGGAAATTGATGAGAAGAGAGATAGGTAGCTGAGCCTAGATTAAATTAGGGGTAAATCCATCATTTCAAGTGGGTTTTTAGGATGGAAATACTAAATGGTAGGCCCCACAGCTGAAGATTCTAGGGGTAAATCCATCATTTCAAGATTCTAGCTGGAAATGTTGTCAAGGTAGTGCTACTCGAACTTTTTATGTTTTTGTGGTAGTTTTTTCAAAAAAATAATTTAAATGGTAGTTGTTCTCAAAACTCGTCATTTAAATGGTAGTTCTTCGCAAAATTTCCATTAAAAATCCTAGAGAAAAAAAAAATCCCACAAAATCCGAAAAATCGTCACAAAATAATCCAAATGTTCAATCTTCTAACTTTCCCATTGATCTCAACTCTAATGTGGACCTTACACACAATATTCTAGTTATACTCCGCAAAATATAAATTTCTCAAATCTAAATACTTTTACATAATTCCCTCCACGGCCACCACAAAATCCAAACTTCTCATATTGTCAAGACGGTTTTCCATCTACTAATTTTTCATCTTTTATGATTTTTCAATTCTCCAAAGATGAATCCACTTTTCCTACCTCATAACATTTCACCCTAACATAACGTGAAGCTGCATTTCCAAATTTTGATTGTTCATATACGTCGTATGCACCATCAGATGACGGTGATGATGAAGAAGAAGTGGAAGAAGTTGAAGAAAATGATAAAGTTGATGAAGGAGCTAATCAAGATAGTCGAAGCAGATTTTGGTCAAAAGCCAAAGAAGTTGTTCTACTGAAATGCTGGCTTGAGGTTAGTCAAAATAAAAAACTAAAACCAACAAAAAAGCGGATGTATTTTGGAAAAAAAGGAACAAATGTTTGATAATGTTCGATTATATAAAAAAAAGTGTTTTGAAGAAGTTATTGATGGGGTTACACAAGCAGATTTATTGAAGGTTAGAGGTTTAAAGCAACTTAGATGTCGATGGAGAAGGATAAACACTTCATGTTCTAAATTTTCTGGGTCATTTGCTGGTGATGAATCTAGAAGGGAAAATGGTGAGAGTGATGAGGATGTTATGAAGACAGCGACATATAAGATCTATGTTGCCGACAAAACAAAGATAAAATTGATGTCTAAAACCTTCCATGATCAATATGCTTCGGATATTCTAACTCAACATGTTGCTTGGAAGCCAATTGAAAATATATATTGCTGGCAATTGCAAGCAGAAAACATCCACTCAAGGTAGCGACTAAAAAAGAATGAGGATCAATGAAGCTGGTAACTACTCATCATCAACAAACCCAGAGACACCAACCAGTGGTGATATTGGGTGTTCCAGCTTCCCTTCAAGCAATGAATCCAGCAAACAAAAGGTAAAAGTAAAATGGCGAATACGCCATCAAAAGCATGGCAACATTTGTTGGACACAATCCAAAACATAAACCTAACACAACAAACTGAAACAGAAATGGAACTTACAATATTGAAGTACCAGATAGAAAAAGATGTAGAGTTGTTTCAAGTGGAAAGGGAAAAGACTCGGTTAGAAAGGGAAAGAGAAGCAAGAAAGCAAAGGAAAATTAATATGGAGTTGTTCAAACATCTTGATTCAAAGCCATACTTATCTGAAGCAGATCAGGAGCTGAGGAATAACTTGTTGAAGAAGTTATTTCCATCAGATTAGTTCATTAGTGTTCGCTTTAAGTTATTGTGTTTGGTTCTAATTAGCTATGTTTACCATTGATGTATTTCCTTTTTTTCGCAATTAAGTTTATGTTCAAGTGTGTTAAAGGTTGTTTTATTGTATTGTCGTTTTTTTATTATTAATAACAGTTTTATCAATGGTATTGTTCTTTCTAAATCAGTAAAAATAGTTTATTCAATCACTGCACAAAGAATATATTATTTTATGAATAAGTATAATGCACTGATATGCGTATCGCTGCTAGTATCAATTATTTTCTGAAAAAGTACGGTGCATTGATGTATGTATCACTGCAAAAAGTATCAATTATTTACTAAAAAAACTGGTGCATTGATTTACATAACACTACAAAGGTATCAATTATTTTTTGGAAAAATATATACCGCCATTGATGTACATATCACTGTAAAGTATCAATATATGGTGCATTGATGATACACTACAGAAAAGTATCAATATACAAGCATCTTTGTACACATAAATGATCACAAAAAAACAATTGATATGACTTATGAATGGAAGACATTTATTGTTCTGAATAATGTAATTATTGTGTGTACGGATTTGTTTTGATAGCATACATACACCATTGTGCTGTAAAATGGTTTATATGTATTTGCATATCATTTAACCTTATATTCTTAAATTAAACTGTCTTTCATAAAATATGTCTTCAGAGGAAACTTCTAACTCTTCTATTTCGTCTTCCAATTCTTAAAATTCTGAAAATGTTTCCAACCTACTAACCCAATTATCGAATGATAGTTATGATGAACGTTATGAAAGGCGTAAACAAGCAAATTGAGTTGTTGATCAAATGATTGATCAAGTAATGATGTCGAATCCAGTTGAAATATATCAAGCTTTAAATCAAATTCTGAGGGCACCAAGGAAGCATGTTGAAAGAATCGTGAAGATGGACAAGCTCATTTATGGACGACTACTTTGCAGATCCTCCAGTGTTCCCTGCACATTCATTCTGTCAAAGATTTCGAATGAGGAAACATGTCTTTCTCCGTATAAAAAACACCACTTTGGAAGAACGTCATTATTCTTTCAACAGAGGCAGGATGCTATTGGTAGATTTGGTGCTTCAACATTGCAGAAATGCACAACGGCTACGAGGTCAATAGCATACAGCACCTCTGCTTTTGATTATATGGTTTTGATTCTTTCGTTTTCTTGGGTCACTAGCCATCCGCCAAGAGTTTTGGGTTTAATATCGATATTTTTAGCAATAAATCTATTTGGCCCATACCCAAACTGAAGTTTTTATTTAAGAAAAAGTGGACCTCACTTGATTTAAGACACTTAAAATGTGGTTGAGAGTACTTTAATTAGGAGTATATTAATTAAATGGACCATGAGCTTTAAACATCAATCAATCAATCAAAGTCTTAATCCATAAGTGGGGTCGACTACGTGAACCAAAAGTGATTATTCCGTGTAGTCATCAACAAAAATCTTTCTCCTCCATCCCTTACGATCCAATGCCTCATCCTCATGCATGCAAATCCATAGGCTTAATATCCTTCCTAACTCCTTCCAACCAAGTCATTTCCGGTCTCCCTTTCCCTCGTTTAACCTCTCTATGGTCCCACTCTTCGTACCGGTGCCCCTTCGGGTCTCCGTCTTACATATCCAAACCAACACAGGCGATTTTCCTCGGACCATGAGCTTTAAATAAGGGTAATAAAATACAATTTTGACCCAAAAACTTTTTAATTATAGTATGTTGCAAGTATTATGCATTTTAGGAAAGTGTTGCAAGTATTAAAACATAAGAAGTTTATACGTAGTAATTGTTGAAAAATAACACAAATTATAATATTACTTTAATCTATATTTACTTAGTATTTAAAACATTGTGAATGATGCAAGCATTATGAATGATGAATTGGTGAGTGAGGATGTCTGGCGTAGAATTTGGAACATGGATGCTCCACCAAAGCTTCGCCATTTTATGTGGAAGGTGTGTAAAGGTCAGCTTGCTGTGAAAGAAAGACCCCACTATATGCTCATTATTGTTAATGATACAAATTGTTCTCTGTGTGGCTTATCTTGCGAAACGATTATGCACTCCCTATTCTATTGTACTGCTACCAGAGAAATTTGGAATGAATATCACCTGAAGGACAAAGTAGAAGCTGCCCCAAATTCTTCTTTTTGTGATTGATGGCAATGGCTCATGCATGAGCTTTCTCCTAGTGAACTAAGGCTGACTGTAGAGCTGCTTTGGGCAGCTTGGAGATGTCGCAACTTGGCTATCTTTGAAGGTAAACAACCATGTGCTGTGCTAGTTGCTGTAGGCTTCACAAATATGTTGAAGAGACACAGTGTTATATACCCGTCTAACATGAGAAAAAATACAATCATTGAAATTAAAGCTATCACTCTTCACATCTTCAATAACTAGGTGAAAAGGCGTGACCCCATTGCTTTTGGTTTTAATAGCATGAACAACCTCTTGCGCATCACTCTCTATCCAAATATGGCTATACTCGAGTCTCCTTGCTAGCTGTAGAGCATATCTTACGGCCTGAGCTTCTGCAATCTCTGCTTGGGTCAGGTGGATTCTCTTCACAGCAGCCGCAACCAACTCACCCCTATGGTCTCTAGCAACTACCCCCAACCCCGCCCATCCTACACTTGGGACATGGCCATCAACGTTTAGTTTAATATAGTTTTGGGGTGGCAGGACCATGATGTAGCAGCAGGGGTGACGTTCAGCCATAGTAGCCCCAACAACACGTTTTGAGTACTTACATAACACTGAAAGAGTCTGTATTGGATTTCGCAAAGTATCACTACTTTAGCGGCGATTGGTTTATTCTAATAAGGCCTATGCCACATGTCATCTTACATTTATAATTTTTTTTAATTACATTATCTTTCTCAACTCTTTCATAAAACACTTCATCTTCATCTCCCGTACTCAATTCAACCTTTTCCTTTTCTCTCTTTAATTTTAGTTCCTTCACCTTCTTTTTTTCAAGCCTCATTTTGAATTAAAATCCTAATAATCTAATTTCTTTAATCATGTTTTTGGTTACACATTACACCCATGAGATCTATTGGTATATCCTCACTCGTCTCTTAATGCAATTTTCTATGAACAACCTGTGCATTGCACAGGCCATAAGGCTAGTTTCATTCATAAGTTTGTAATACATATATTTTTATAAGCATATTAAGCAATTTTATCTTTGTTAGGCTTTAATTATACTTTTTTCATTTTATTAATAATAAGATACATTCAACGTATATTTGTTTTTAAAATACACATATTTTAACATATGCCGGGTAACCGAATATCCAACCGGTTCCTTTTCCAAAAAAATTGAAAGTTGAAATTGGAATCGGTTACTAGACAAAATTGGACCTAATATTCCAATTCCAATTTTGAACTCGCTTGTTCCTAACCGATTCCGATTTTAATTTCGAGAACCGATTCCTTAATTTACTATTCGGAATTAGACCCAATATTCCAATTCTAGTTATGAACCCGTCGATTCTCAATCGATTCCGGTTCCAATTTCACTAACCCATAATTTTTGCTCACCCTGTCCATCATCTTTCAAGCTAGATCGCCACTTACTCTTAACCATCATCGAGACCAACACGTAGAAAGACAAAACTACCCTTCAAAACCTCACATAATCACACTCTCTTTCCCACTGACAAGAAATCCCCTTGGCCCCTCCCCCAAAGCGCCTGCCAGCTAATACGTGCTCACACACCGAAATTTAAGAATTTCTACATCTCATTCATTCATTCAACCTTCCTTAAACACAATATAACATTATAATAACAAAAATAAAAAACCATAAACACTTGTTCTTTCTTCCTCAAATGCAGACTGATTTACCATACTTCAAATTCCTTTGATCGCAGAAATTCCGCCATTGAAGGACCTCAATTTCAATGTCGAGTCGCTACAATAGCCCATCTCGTAGCCCTGGAAGAGGCACTACAACAACGGCGGCTTCGGCGTCGGCGAGGTTGCAGCTTGGTGCTGTTTCAAGGCTGAGATCTTCGTCGATTAAGAAACCTCCTGAACCTCTTCGTCGTGCTGTTGCTGATTCTCTCTCTTCTTCGTCTTCTTCGTCTTCGTTTTCTTCAATTTCTGCTCTTTCGTCTCATCATCCTTCGAGTAGTCCCTCCATTCATGCATCCGAAGCTTCGCGAACTCTTCGGGTTTGTTTTTCTGGTTTTTTATAGGGTTTGTTTTTTCTGCATTTTGATTTTGAATTGCTTGTTTAGAATTCTGCTTTTTAGGTTAATTGTTGTTTTTGTTGAAGTTTTTCTGTTGGGGTGGATATGTTTTGTTGATTTGTTATGTGGTGAATTGGATTGTTTGATTATATTTGTTGAGAATTTTGGTTTGGAAGTTGAAAGTGAGTGCTTTGGGAGGAATTCTTGTGTGCTTAATTAAAATTGTGGCAATTGGGGATTGATTTGTTATGAACATGAGTGCTTTGAGCTTCTTTAATTTGCACGAGCCGAGTTTTCGTAGTTAGTCAGGGTGATTGTGAAGTAGGGGAATGTAATGTGGAACTCTAGTATTGCGACGTGAAGACTGATCATTCATTCTTCAGTTTTTCTCATAAAGTGACAAAACCTTTGATTATTCGAACATGATTTGTGCCAAGGTTCATGGACCGTGTTTGTCTTAGTGCCACTCGAGCTTTTTCAGAGGGTAAATTTCTTTTGCAGGAGCTGCTAGAGAAGGACTTTTATATTGTATTATTTAAATTAATCCGTAGTCTACTACTAAAACCTGTTGTGCATATTATGTGCATCTTGTTTTGGAGGCCTGTTGGTGTAGTCAAGTAGTCATGAAGCACGGTCGATAAAGAAACTGATTGGTATGATAAATATGATTACCTTTTAGGCAAAGAATTTGGAACCTAAAGAACCATTATATTTATATGTTTCTCCAACCAAGTTTTATCATGGCTTTTAAGCATGCAGAATGGTATGATAATGTTGCTTTTAAAGAGGGATGAGCAAATTTGTTGAATAAATTGATGGTTTTGAGTATAAGCAATAAGCATGAGTTTTGCCATGGGAAGAATTACCTTGCAAAGGAGTTAATAATTTATAGGATTGTAATCAATTCCTAGACAGTATGTTTTATTGGGGGCAAAGATATAGTTTTTGAGGCTGTGGTTTTAAGGAATCAGGAAAAAAACAAAGTGAACACCTTTATACATCTTTATTGCTGTTTTATGGTATTTTTTTTTGTGATATTCTCTTCACTTTCAATTGTTTTTTGACAAAACACTTTCAATTGTTCAAAATCCCCAAACCCATGAATCCTAGTTCCCCACCCCATTCTAGGGGATTGAGTATTTAAGTTGCCTCTTATTAGGGAATCAGGGAACAAAGATGTCTAAATTATACCAAAAGAAATCACCATCTTTCCATTCCTTCCTCAAACAAATTCATTGCCATAGGCCTCCACACCACTCTCAGGACCAGCTCTTGCACTACCTCCCCCACCACCCCCCCCACCCCCACAAACAAAACAGTTGTATCAGTATGGAGAAAAGCAAGAATTAAATTTGTCCTGATTAATAATATCTCAGTAAACTCTATTCTTGATGAACTTATTTTCCTTATGCAGAAGGAAATTGTAATATTAGCATTCTGGCATATCTTCATTTCTTCCTAGTCCTAAGTCCACATATCCTTTGATGTATTTGTCACCAATTGTTCCTTAAGTTCTTGAAGAAAGAGTAGTAGTCAGAGAGATCTGACAAGGGAATACCTGTTTTTCAAGGTTGTTTTAATCAGGTTATGAGCTTAGCAATATCTGGTGTGCCTCACAACCAAAGGACTTTTTACTTCTACTAGTACCCATTCATTCTTTTTATTTAAGTAGGGTTGCATTATAAGGGAAGGGGAAAAAGATGGTGTGTGTAGTGAATTGCAATGAACCTGTGTAATTATTATTTAACTCTGCCCTAATGTTTCGATCATTCTTCTAGGGAAAATAGATGGTGTGTGTAATTTCTAGGATATGAAAGGCAGACATTTTTTTTGGACTCTAGCATTGCCCAGGATTAATACTAATAGGCCCCATCTCACTGGATCTTTGTCTGCATTGTGGAAATAGTGGTGGATTCTACCCGCGTTTTCTTAATTGTCATGTAGTGTGCAATCTTTGAGGGAAGGTTTTGCTCCTTTCATTTTTGGAATGCAGGTGTGTCTGGTGAGGTTTAGAAGAGCTAGGAAGAAAGCAGCTTGGAAGCAATGCTTTGCTGACGATTTTATGTTGTAGGAATGTGAAATTTATCTTCCTTGTAGACTATGTCTGTTATGGTTTTTAGGAGCTATTCATATTCAAAGATTAAAAAAAAGGGGTGATGGTGTTATAGTTGCTATTTTTGGAGGACAGGAGGTAGCTTGTTCTCTATCTTTTTACTCCTGGTCAATTGGGTGAGATTTATCTTCTTCTATGTGATTTGATATTTTGTACTTACAGGACTATTATATTAGTGGTGAATTGCGGCTTCGGTCAAAGCTCATTTGTGGCTTTTACATATGCGTTATACCTATGCTTACATGTTAAATAATTTTGTTTATGAGATGAAATATGTTAAATGATCAAATAACTGATGTCCATGGTGAATATCAGGATTATTTGGCCGCTCCATCGACGACTGACCTTGCCTATTGTATTATATTAGAACATACTCTTGCCGAGAGAGATCGCAGGTAGCTACTTTTGCTCACCATCTCATCATATCCAAGACAACATGCGTGTATTGATTATAAGTACACATTTGTATTTATAGAATATGAACACAATATCAGACATTTTTTTTACAATGGCTAATTGATGTAGAATGTTACATCATTTAAATAAAATAAATCAAAATAAAGTTATAATCCCTAAATATTTAATATATTTTACGATGCCTAATTCATTAATAACCTCAATGTCTTTGTTGTAGGTTGTGTCAATATATGTTTACATAGGTGTAGGCTAAGTCAATTGTTACATGACTAAATATTAGTTATTCTATTGCATTAAAAAAACAAGTACTTTAAAAAAACTGTTAAACTAATTAATTATTATTTTATATAGTCAGTGCATTCTCTGCAAAAATGTCTTAGCTTATTTTTGGCTCTATTGATCAATATGTTAGAAAAAGCAGTATGTAAAGGCTACAAGTTTATGAGTTTTTACACCCTATGATATGTAATTGTCTTCGTTGAGACATCCGGCATCTATGGTTTGATGAGAACAATAACAGGTTTAGCCACTGATTCTTATTTTATTTGTGCAGCCCTGCAGTTGTTGCAAGGTGTGTGGCACTCTTAAAACGTCATCTCTTAAGGTTTGTTTATCTTCTCTTGTTTGTTTTATATGATAATATACTCGTGTGTGTTTCTACCCATTATATGATAGAATTGCAGTTACAGGTGTCCAAAACAACCCGACCCGATTTAAAATCAAATTCAGATTTCGACTTGTATGGGTACATTAAGTTAGCATGACTCAAATTTAAAATAGTCCTGACCTAACCTCACCGAACCCGACCTACACACCCGAAATGGCACCTCAAATTGCAGCACTACTAAGACATTTTTTTCAATTTATAAAGGTTTCCAAAATATGTACTCCTAGTCCTTTTCACCTTTAAATCTTATGTCACTGGCAAATTTAGGTCAAATATAGGAAAAAGAAGTTGGATAAAAGCTAACAAAATAATTTACGACTGAAACTGTAGGTAAGCTTAGATAAACTTAAATTAGGGCCAACAGGTTCATATTAAGTTAGAAGTTCAGATAGTGGCAAGTTTAGTTTGAAGTCCAGGTAAGGAGTTTTTAGGTGAAAAGAAGAAAGTGTTGGTTAGAATATCTCATGGTTGAAGAATAAGAAGAGAGTTGTCCACTTCTCCGTTCCTATACTTTAAGCTTTTTTTTGCATGCTTAATTCCACTATGGAGTTAATTTTGGGCTCTGAATTACACAAGTTATTGTTAGTTGCTGACATCTTCGACGTGATTATTGTATCCTGGAGCTTTTTAGTTGCCTTAAGTATTTACGTCTCCATGTTTTGAGCCAAAATTTCCTTGTTCCTGTTAATTGTGTCTCTTGCTTTTGTGGATCTATTAATCTAAAAGTGATGGTTTTTGCTTCTAGCTCTCCACTTGAATGTACTGTGCTTCTTGCTTGCCTTTGAATGTGGGTAACACCCTCTTTTTGTCCAAAACTCTTTTGGTCTTCACATGGTAAAAGATCTATCAAGCATGGTAAAAGATATTTTGGTCCTTCACATGGTAAAAGATCTATCAAGCATATATAGAATACCATGTTGGAGACTTTCGATGTTGGTATGCCAATTTGAGAGATCTAGTTCACATATCCCAGATGTCTGGAATGCTAACAAACCTCAAGCAATACGTGTGTTGCCAAATTGTAGTTCGACCCGGGGGGGGGGGGGGAGGGGGAGAGGGGTGTCACAGCAATTTAGGTAAGCCTTTGGCATTCATGAAATCGATTGTCAGCCAAAACATACCTTTAGTGCTTAAGGACTTAGATTACCGACAAGTCTGCCATTATATAAAAATAGTTTAATAATTGCAACAAAGGCTATAAACTATTTACCTGATTGATGTTTCAGAGCTAGGTACTGTTGTCATCCGCCCTTTCTTTTTTCTTTTGTTTGTCTTAGGTGTTGGATGAGTGTTGTTCCTTGATACAACTTTTGACTTAAAACCTTGTGTTCCTTTTTTCCCCTGTCTTATGGTCAGATATAAGCCTAGTGAAGAGACGTTGCTGCAGATTGACAAATTTTGTGTACAGATAATTGCTGAATGTGATATTGGTTTGAGTCGGAAATTGTTGCCATGGTCACACTCATTGAACCAGCAATCTAGTGCTGCAAAGGCTCCGGTCAATGGTGCGCCTGTGCCTGTTTCTAGCTTTGCTTCTGCATCACTTAGGAAGTCACTAAATTATGTTCGTTCCTTGGTGGCACAACATATTCCAAGACGGTCATTTCAACCAGCAGCTTTTGCTGGAGCCCCTTCAGCGCCAAGGCAGACTCTTCCTTCGCTGTCATCTTTATTGAGTAGATCTTTCAATTCTCAGTTAAGTCCTGCAAGTGATGGAGAATCATCAGGAAGGATAGATACTACTTTATCTGTTCCTAGCCAAAGAAAGATTGAAAGTTCTGATGGAGTTGAAGATCTAGAATATATTACTGCTGATGTTCTAAAATGGCGCTGGAGAAGTGATCAAGACTCTGCTGCTAAATTAATTGTTGGGTAATTAATTATGTTGCATATATCTAGTCATAGCTGGTATTATTGCATTTTTAGGTCTCTAATTAAGAGTTTGAGATCATTATAGGGTATTTGTATAACTGTAGACCTAATCATAATATTTATTTTGGTGCAGTGATAAATATTTTAATGCCCAAGACTTGACGAGACCTAATTTGCTTGACGTGGGCGCAGCTGCCCTACTTGTTTCCGACTTGGATACAAAAAAAGGCCAACTGTGGAGGCACTTTGGTACTGCTGACATGCCTTATCTTGATCAACTGTTGCAGCCCTCCTCAATGTCTTCAGTCACCAACAGTGCCTCTGCTCGTCATCACTTGAGAATTATAACTGCATCTAAACGGACCAAATCTGGGTCTCAGCAGATATGGCAAGTTATTTTTGGAAGTGCTTCCCCCCTCCCCCCTTTCCCCCCTTAGTCTGGTTTTTTGTCTATCTTTCTTATGTCTATTCTTTTAATCTTTTACACAGAAGTAAAGGCATTTATGATCTGCGTTTATACACACTTCTTCCTTTATTTTACCAAGTTAGAATTAGTGTTGTGGCCACCCTTTTTGTCTGTTGATCAGGAAGGAAGATATATATGGTGTGGTCTCATTGTTTTACTTACAGAAGCACATAACACATGGATTTGAAAGCGATGAAAACTTCAAGAGAGATCTAAGAATTCCCCAAGAGTTGTTTGGTTTAAACTTGGATGTGTGAGAAAGAACCTTGGTAGTAGTGAGAGAGAAAGAGCCTGCTATAAGTTTTATTATCACCTAAATGTTAACCTCTTCCTTTTTTTTGGTGAGTTGAACTTCATGAAGGAAGAAGAAACTAGAGGAGTGAGAATAAGTGACATGGTTCTAGTTGGCAAAATCACCCATTGGAAAAAAAAAAGAGGCTCTTGTTGCTGAAACTGAATTAAAAATTTATGGAATTTATTTAAAATTGGAAAAAAAGAGGTTTTACATGGATGACTTGTTTGAATAGGCTTAGCATAAGTAATAAACTACAATTACACACATTTGTTTATGTCCTTGTTTAGTTGGTGAATCCAGGTTGTATTGTTTTTGCATTGTGAGTTATGAGCTTTCCTTTAGAGATGGTTGTATTGTTTGCAGAGAAACATAGGTGTTGAGTGTCCTGCCTTATTTTATCAATGCCTCTTGTGGCTAAGGTTTGCAATGTAGGGAATGTTGTTTTTTGCATATTGCTTGGACAATTTTTGTTACAATAAGCTTCTTGTAAGAAATGCCTTTCATTTGAGCATGATTTGGGTGTTTAATCCCTTGCCAAGCTTGACAACTATTATATGCAGTGAGAGACATCTCTTGTATACTTATCCTTTTTCTTCGTTAATTGCACTTTGAGGCTTTAGCTTTCACGTTTGTCTGAGATGTTAGTTCTGTCCTGGAAGTGATATTGGATAAAGCATGATGGAAGGTTTTAAAGGTCTCCCTGTCAGAACAAATCCCTTCGATTATAATTTTATTTAAACTACAATATATTGCAGCTGGGGAACCAGTCCTGGGTTGAACATAATTGAATTGATAGAAATCTTGCCAAACATGGTGGACAGTCGAAAGCTACCAAGTGCTGAAATGACCTAAATTAACAGGCCACTTTCAGAGGGTAGAAACACCACATGAACCTTAAGTTAACACTTTAATCACATTATCTTTATTTCCTAATATATTTTTGGCTAGTCAAATTATTTCAATTTTTGTAAGATATAGTTGGTAGTGTAAGAGTTAAGGTGACTCTTATACATGGAGATGACAGATGAGTGAAGTAATGTGAAGAAATTGAAGTTTCTAAAGGTTTTATATTTCAATAGTGAACTGTAACTCCTGAAGAGGAAGTCATGTGGCCTGTACTTAGATTGTGGTCAGGTAAGGAAGATTGTTTTATTGAAAAAAATGACAATACTGTTACGTATTTACCTTTATTTAGTTCAAATCTTATGAGAAGATGGACAAGGTATTGTAATGGTCCGTATCAAGAATTGAGGTTTCGTGATGAAAAAGGTTTTAGTGGTTAATCAAACAATTTATTACATAGCAACCTACATATGGTCCAAAATCCTATGAGAGGTGGATGAGGTACTTTCTACCTTTTGTTAGACTATGGTGACTGCTTCTGCTGCCTTTTACCAATATAGGAGTAGAATGTGTTGTAGATTGGTTGAAGGCCGTGGTGGTGTTTTTTTATTTTATTTTATTTTATTTGGGGGGGGGGATAATGGCCCTTTAGGGGAGTGTGAAACTAGCTGCTGTGGTTTTAAGATGAATGCATTTGAATTTTACTATTTTTTGGCTGAATAAAGTTTATTTTCCGGTAGATATTAATGATACTAGAGTCATATTTGTAATTGGTATGACGTAAACTGGGAAATTTATGAGCACAGAAGTCTAGGATGAATTTTCTATCTATCTAATTCAAACAGTAAATATGGATCTTTGGATAACTAAATGATCTGCTTAAGTAATGCTGGTGGTTTAAAACAACACAAATACCTTGAAAAGTATATTCATTGTTCAGGTGTTTGAAGTATTAATTTTGGTAACTCATGTTGAATCTCATAGCTGGTTCTCTTCTTTTTAATCAGGGAGGATTGTTCAGTGAGCACATTTCGGCCTCGGGCACGACCATTGTTTCAATATCGTCATTACAGGTAGGACATAATGCTGAAAATCTCAATTCTGCTGCAAGTATTTCCACTTCATCTTTGCTTAATAGTTGCTATCAGAAATCTTACAGTTGCCCTTCACTCGTGGAATGATTTTGCCTGTTTAGTTGCTTCGTTTAGATGCATCTGAGTCTTCTTTGGCTCTATAATGATTGTAATTCATAGTTTTCTCTGTTCTTTATTCTCTAGTGTAGAAGCAAAATGTCTCTTCCTATTGTAATGATGGTGGTTCTCATTTGGTGCATTGCTGTCTTTTCTTGGTCATTATCTAGTGTTTTTAATCTCTATGCTTTCTTGATCACATGAACAGATGCATGTGGTTGTATTGTGCTGCATTTATTTTGAATTGTTGTGCTGCATTTATTTTGAATTGTTGAGGATGATGATACTGATGGTCTGTATTGTTACATTGGGGATACTTTGCATATGCTATCAACAACTACTCCTTATACAGATCCTGCTGTGCTATGCCTTAGCTCTTTCCGGAAGACTTCTTGGGAAACATTGTCGGGGAAAAAAAATGAAAAGAAGTTCTTCCGTCTTTTTTGGTTGACACGTATTCCCTTTAGGGAAGTTATGTTTTTAGTTGTCACGGTTCTTGTTTGAGTAAGTTTTGTATTGTTACATGACAATTATAACCTCCTCCTTTCTCTCTTCCACATAATAAACCCCTTCTCTTTCCTCTCTCCTCCATACCCCTTGTCTCTCCTCTGTATCCACTCTTTCTCCTCTATGTTTCTTTTATCAATTCATTACTCTGTATGTTATTTTACTCTCCAAAATCATCAAACAATAACAATGAATATAGTTTACTCCGTTAAAAGCATCATCCCCTTCATTAACCGCAAATTTATGGAAAAAAACTTCTCACTTCTGAATTTCAATCTCAATTTCCACCTTCGCCAATCATTATATGAAGCCACTGGGCTTGAAGTTTAATAAAGCCAAAAAACAATTGCGAAAAAAAATCAAAGGAGTTGCTTGAATAATAGGGCCTGCCATTGTTGGATCTCGAGCTTCTTTATAATCTTCTTTTCTCTCTCCTCTGGAAGTTTATAGGTTAATTTTATTGATTTAAATTTTTTTTAATTAATTTTTTTTTATCTATCCAATATGTGTATCTAGTGCAGTGGGTCTTCTTATAAGAGGAGAGAGATTAAGAAACAAATAATCAAATAAAGACGGAGACCAATTTTGGTCCAGGAGGCTGTTTGAAGAGTATAGTAGGTTGGGTAATGTGAGGGAGTAAAGTAGAGGGCATTTTGATATTTTACATATCCTTTGCTTCCTTGTTATTCCGTATACGTGCCAAAAATGAAATGCATCTAATGATCCTTAGCTCTTTCTTGTTCTCAATACTTTATGTTAATCCTGTTTATTTATTTATTAATATTATCCATTGTGGGGTGTTGGGGGGGGGGGGCGGTTGAAGAAATAAGAAATACTTACGTAACATACAAAACGCAATGATAAATTCACCCTTTTATAATTTATTTTTTATTTTTATTTTTGTTTTTTAATTTTTTTATCACCTAATGTGGTATAATTATTGGGTTCTGACTTCAGACTTTAGGATCAGCTTGGAATCTTTTATGCTAATTGCTATTTCCTTTTTAGAAAATATATTGTCCATATCTGAATGACAAATGTGTTGCTGAAACTGTTTACAATAGGGTCTTACCTGTTGTAGTCAATCCTAACCAAACTTTAGTAGATTAAAACTGTCACATAACATGTTCCAATAATGAACCACTTTGTCACTCTGGAATTATGTTTCTACTTTGGTCTTTTTGAGTGCCTGTGAGGCTGCTAAGCCTTGTTATCTGCTGATAATATATAGCATGCTTTACACATAAATTAATGGTACTTCAAAATTAATAGGTAAAGCCATAAAACTAGAAAGGTTGTATGAACTTCCATGCTTATTTAGAGTTTTCACTGAATGTTTGTAATTTTTGCATGATTCAGTGAACAGCAGCCTCTAAAACTGAATCCTACTGAAGTGGGTGAGGTCATAACAGCTGTTTGCTCAGAGATCTCCATGCCAAATGCAAATCTAATGACAATTTCAACAGGATTGAGTAACCATCGCACAAAGCCATCCATTGATGTGGCTGTCAGTGTCCTTATTAAACTTGTTATTGACATGTAAGTTCTCTCACTTTTTTTCTTTTGGACAGTGCCTATGTTACTATTATTGGTGTACATCGTCTTTGGTTTAACGAGATTCTCATTCTAGATTTTAGTGTTTCCTCTGCATATACAAAATACATATTAGTAATGCTTATTTTATTTATCACCTATAGAGTGATCATCATCAAATATACTCTAGGTTAAAAGAAAATTATATAGATTAAAAGAAAATTATACTTGGTTTTCATTTATAATTTTGCTTTTAATTTCATCATTTTTTTCCCACATAAAAAGGGAGATCCTGTTTTTATCTTCTTGTACAATTTATAAATTTGTTTTTCCTTGTGTAAATTATTATTTCACATTATCACGAATTATAGGGTATTATCACTAATAGGTTACTATCCACTGCTTGTCAATTGTCATATGAAATATGAGTAGAATAGACATTCAACATTTGTCAAATTTTCTTTTGATTCACGGCTTGTGATTATTGTATTCCTAGTAACCACCTATAACGTTTGTGAGTTATATGTGATTGTTTGCTGCTTCTAACACATTTTGTTGGACTAAATATATTTCCTTACTTTTTTGTTTGCAGGTATATTTTGGATCCTGGATCTGCTGCTCCTCTTACTTTATCTATGCTTGAGGTACCCTACTGACTAGATACACCTTTCTTATAGTATTCTTGTAAATTGGTGTTTGTGCCTCTTAACCCTAGGAACTTGTTTTCAGGATATGGTTTGTTCTCCCAGACTGTCTTCTAGGACTCGTGCCTTTGACTTGATATTAAATCTTGCTGTTCATGCTCACCTATTGGAGCCTGTTGTGCTGGATGATGTTACAACTATTGACGAAGATTATCCTCAAGACTTATCCTTGGACAGCGAGGCTCAAGTGGGGAGTCAGAGAAAGAGAACAGATTCTAACAAAAACGCCGGGGATTCCTCAGCAATTGATGATTTTGAATCCTGGATATTAAACATCCTCTATGAGATTCTTTTACTTCTAGTTCAGGTATGTTCTGTCGTGCTTGGCTATTTTTCGTTTTCCTTTTTATTTTTTTACATTATTGGAATAGCTACTAAATCACCAAATGACCACTAGCTTGAAAATGGAAAGTGTCCAGCGAGCATGCTTCATCAAAGCTTATTGGAAGTTGAATCTAATGATTCTAGTGGAGGAGATGGATATTTAAATATATATTATATGAAGTTATGTGGAATGCTTTCTATATTTCTTAATGTGAGAGTTTAAACACTCAATAGTTCTATAATTTTGCTAAGTTAAGTCATGATTTGTCTGGTTTCAAACGCCATCAACCATTCAAATTGGGGGAGCATTTGTTACACCCAAATTAATTTCTTGACTTATTTTGACTTTGGCACTTGACTAACAAAGGGTTGACTCATAAAATGACATAGTCCAACGATGGAAAATGTGATTTAACAACAAGGCCCAAATGGAAAGCCCTAAGGATGGAATGGAGCCGGTTTAGTAGCAAATAGAACATTTTGAATTTTATGAAGACCGGCGCCAAGAGACATAATAACCGTCTGGCGTTTATTGGAGTTAGTGGGATAAACCGCACTATATTTGTCTATAAATAGAGGAAGATGTCCAGGAAAGAAGTATTAGCAAATCAATCAACAAAAGCATTTCATTTTCTTTAAGCTTTCTTAGTTTTCCCTTGGCTTAGTAGCCAATCAATAGTTTAAAACTTTAGTATGTACTGAAGATAAGACGTTCCTTCTAATTGTATGAACATGAAGGTAATCTTTCCTTCGACTTGTACGATTGTAGCCTTGACTCTATCTCTCAATTAATGGAAAGCATTTGCATCTTTTGTCATATGTTCACCTATTCGTTTCTTTAGCAATCTAACTTGTTTAACTTATTTGAGGATAACTTCTTTACTGTTTTGTTGTGTTATGTTAGCGAGGTTATCAATCTTTTGAAACCAGTAACAATAGAGGCAACCCCTTAATACTCTAGAACAAGATAGGGTATTTGACTTGTTTGTAAAGAACACTATTTACCTCAACAAGTTTTTTGGCGACTCCTTTTGTTAGAACACCTATTGAAAATGCATTATTGTCATGTTTTTCCTCTTTCTACTTCCATTTGAAAGGCTAAGGTTAAGCAGGTGAAAGCGTTTGTTTGGGTTACTTGATTAGATTGGATTGGACTTTGGACATAGGACATTTTCTAGTGCATTTACACCCCTATCACTAGGTTGTATGTTTGGATACCACTTCAGTATGAGTTAGCCCAAGTTTTTAGCCATCTTTGTCTCAGCCCAGGGTTCTCATAATATGATGAAAAAGCTATATTCTGCCTGGATATACCTTTGTAGCTATATTCTGTTCTCTAAAGACACTTGATAAATGCGTGCTAGTAATGTAAGCAGCTGAAGTATAGTTGTCATATATGCTTGTAGTTAGTTAGATAGATAAATAATGATGTATCCTGGTAGTTTTAGTTTGTTAAACTACCACATTGAATTTCTGGTTTATAACATGTGATCTTATGTTTTTGAAATGTGCAGATAGAAGAGAAACAAGAATCTGTCTGGGCGTCTGCTTTAAGTTGTTTGCTTTATTTTGTTTGTGATGGAGGCAAAATACGTAGGATTCGACTGAAAGGCCTTGATATAAGGGTGAGTCCTTTGCTTCTGTAAATAGGATCTATATTTTGCTTTGAAATTTTTAGCTGCATGCTCTTTGGAAATTATTAGCTGAAAGAAATGATATGATGGCAGCTTTCCTCTTTTATCCTTCCTCTCTCTCTCTCTCTCTCTCTCTCTCTCTCTCTATGTGTGTGTGTGTGTGTGTTGGGGGGGAGGGTATTTTTGTTTATGTTTACTATCAAGAAATATTGATGTTCCTAGATTTAGTTGTTTAATCTGTATAGCGAGCATTTATTTACTTTGAATAGCACACATGCTGATGCAGAACTATGACCATAAATATCCCTAATTAACTGTAAGTGGAAAATTTAAAAAGTTGATATTTTGAACTATATAGTGAAACTAAACAAGCAACATTTTGCTTGATATCATTTGCTTCTCATTAATTAATAAAAAATTGGTGTTAAAGTTATTAATGCAGAGTGGTACGAAACTAAAATTGCTACGATTAGTTTTGTACTATTGCTTGATGAAAGTTGCTTCTCAATTAGTAAAAATATGCTGTCAAAGCTATTATAATATTTATTGTTTGCTTCTCTGTAAATAGTAAAAATATGCAGTTGAAGTTAGTATAGTAATAATACGAAAGTAAAACATTTGACACGGAGGATATATACTTTCAAATATTACCTATCTACATCATCAAAAATCGAGAGAATGGGTTGAATTACCCTATGCTCTTCTCAATGATTTAATCTGTTGACTGCTATCTCTTATTTTTATCCATTTTCAGGTTGTAAAGGCTTTGTTAGAAGTTAGTAGAATGAGCTCATGGGCAGAAGTTGTCCATTCGAAGCTCATATCAATATTAGCAAGGATGTTCTATGATCTTCCTGATGAACAGGGTACAATTACTACAAGTACCCCCAAATTTCTTGCAGAGCAAGTTGATATGATTGGAGGGATTGATTTTATCTTCCTGGAGGTATGCTGTCGTTTGTACAGGATCTTAGCTCCCCATGTGTGCTTGTCTCAGCCCCTCTATACCCCTTTTTTTTTCTCTAAATAAGGAAAGGATCTGATCAAATGGTTTGTTAGTTGTAGAGGTGCCTGAAATTCTATTGCTGATAGACCATTATAATCGGTTCAATATTTTGCCAAAAATTTGATCTCTCTCTTTTGATGATTCAGACACTCGGACTGCAGATTAAACATCCTTTTAATTATTTTTATTTTTTATATTTTATGTTCCTTCCAATGTTACATTTACAGGTATCCCTATTAATTGCTAGGGATAGATATGTTAGATGTGATGTGTAGTTGTGTACTGTCATAGATGGAATAGACAAATTATTAATTTATTTTTTTGACATTATCCTTTGAGCGTAATTGGGGCATTGCATCATAGTAGACTTGTCAATTTTCGACCCGACATGCAAAACCCTACCCGAACCCGACACGTTTTTGTGGGTCTTGAACATCTGTTTTTGACCCGTAACCCGATTTAACCCGAACCCGTTAAACCCGTAAATATGCGGGTCAAAACCGACCTGAACTAGAATCCGACCCGTCGTCCCAATTTTAGGGGTATTTTTTTAATAAATACATTTATTTGAAAATTAATATTAGTTTATTGATTAAGTTTGATTGTATGTCTACCATCGGACATTCATTTAATCTCTTTTTCATTTATCTATCTCATATAACTCTTGCTCAAGTCCACACCAATCACCTCCTACACCAACTATTGACCCACATTAATTGTATCTGCATAACCCACATCACCGTCATGCCACTGATTGATATGTATGTCTACTGATATTATGTCAAGTGATATTATACTTCACATATATAATTATGTTAGCCTCTTCCTTAAATTTTGGGATGTTTAAAAGTTTTCTTTTAATTATATTATCATTTTTTATTAGTTAACAATTGATTTGCTTTGGTGAAATGATGATGGTTTAAATTATGTAACATGTAATGGCTAATCCAAAATAATATGGTGAAAATGTTCGATTAAAAAAGTGGAAAAATATTTAGCAAAGTAAGCTTGAAAAATCAGAAATTTCTAAATATTAGCCAAAAAAATTAAATAAAAAATTGTAAAACCCGTTGGGTTGACCTAAACCTGAAACTCTGGGTTAGGGTTGAGCATTTCTCGACCCGTAACCTGAAGTGACCCGTGACTCAGAGCGACCCGACCCAAACCGACCCGATCGACAGGTTTACATCATAGCCATTGATAGGATATTTGGGATAAAAAAATTGATACTCCCTTCGTTTTTAAATACTTGCTCCACTTTCTATTTTCGGCCGTTTGTAAATACTTGCTCAATTTCCTATTTTGGAAAGCTTTTTCAATATTTAATTTATTTCTCTCAACTAGTGGACCCAATTTAAATCATATTTTATTAATTTTATATTATCTCTCCTCCAATTCTCTCAACTACTTTTGCTTTTTACAATTTTTTATTCTTCCACCATCCCCACTACCTCCATATTTTATTACTTTTTCCAATTTCTCCTAAAACTCTGCGCATGGAGAAATGGAGCAAGTATTTTAAAACGGAGGGGAGTAGCCAATTAGACTTTTAATTAAAATTAAATTCTCATTCCAAATTTGACTGATATATAAGCAAAAGAATATAGTTCACTGTCAGTTTAACGTGTTCTGTCAAGGTCCTCAAGGATGTTCATGTACGCTTTAATATTTTGATGTTCTGTACTTCTGAGTTCCAAGTGCAATTTTCCCTTCTAATTTTGTCTTGTCACTTTTCAATGCAGTATTCACTTGCTAGAACAAGGGAGGAGAAGAGAAATCTTTATTCATTGCTTTTTGACTATGTTTTGCATCACATTAATGTAGCAAATATTGCTACTGGAGGCCCTGAGTATTTAGTTGATGAGATTCAACCCCTTGCGACTTTGCTTTCTCTTGCCAATGCTCCTGAAGCTTTCCACATTTCTGTTAATCTAGGAGTTGATAGGATTGGAGAACTCTTGAGAAGATCAGTGTCTTCTGCATTGTCCAGATACTCAGACAGTGAACAACTGAACACCGTAATCTTCTTCATTTTGCTTCCCTCTTTATTTCATCTTGTATGATTTATTTTATGCAAATGTTCATATGAATTAAAGTATTTGTTCTTTGATATTATCCAAATATTAATTGGGACTTATTAGCCATGCGTTTTCTTGAAGAAATCCTGAAGCTGTTATCGTTGCTGGTTTGTTAATGGTTTTGGCCTTATAGGCTGTTTGTTCAAATGTTACAAATCTAAGCTTCAAGATGTTCGCATTTTAATCTATGTTGGTATTGCCTTCTTATATCCAGATCCTTGAGAAGGTTATGAGTGAGTTCGATTCAATTATAAGCTCATTTACTCACCTACAGAAAGAGTTCTCCGATATGAGACAGCACACCAAATCATATAAACTTTTGAAAAGCATCGACGATGGAGTCATAGGAAGGAATGTTAGCAACAACGCTAAATTATCGTGGGCTACATTGCACTCTCTTCTTCATTCTGATAGAATAGCTTGCCGTCAGAATGGATATATATGGTTAGGTGATCTGCTTGTTTCTGAAATTAGTGAGGGGAGTGATGGAAATTTGTTTTTGAGCATCAGCAGCTTGCAGCAGCAAGTTGCCTTAGTTGACCTGAAAGATTCTTCTGCTCTCTCCGATATTCCAATGTCTATCTGGCTTATGTGTGGCTTGCTGAAGTCAAAGGACAGCACAATCAGAGCAGGATTCCTGTTTGTTTTGGAAGTACTTCTCATGCGATGCAAGTGTCTTTTGGATGAGAATGAGCTTGAGGATTCAACCAGAAACGGTGGCGATAGTCTTCCAGATCATTGCCTTCAAAAGGCAAATTCAGTGATAGACATCATGAGTAGTTGCTTGTCTTTAGTGGCTCAGATAAATGAGACTGATCACTTCAACATTTTGAAGGTATACTCCTCAATCCTTCTCCTACTTTTATACTCAAACCTGGCTGCAATGATATGTCAGTTATAAATTTGTGAATAATTGCCCACTAACCTGTTTACCTGACCATGGTCTTCTTGATACAATAACACTATGGATACGATAGGCTTCTAGTGTTTTATGTGAGTAGTAGAGATTTTAGATAAAAACAACAATTGCATATTTCCTTTTTTTTTTTTTGGGTGTTTTCGAAGATTCGCGTACATGGGACAGTAAACTATTTGCTCTCATTTGTGCAAAAAGAGATACGTTTTCTGCCACCATTATAGTTGTCATTGATTCGTATTATTTCTTACATCGACAGTTTCAAAAAAAAAAAAAAAAAAAAATGGGGGCTGGTTTCATGGACGCTAAAAATTCTCTAGCTCTGTAATATAAAATACTATGCAAATTCTGGTGATGCCTATCTTAGTAGTCCATCTTGGGGGTGAAAGAATAATATTACTATATCTTGTGTCAAGAAAAACTATCTTGGGGGGTAAAGAATAATATTGCTATATATGTGCAAATCACTATTCTTGTGGCATGTTTAAACTTTGAAGTGGGTTAGATCAAGTGACGTTTGGTAATACATCAATGTAGGCCATAGGAAATGAAGTTTAATTTAGGAACTAATAGGTTTAAGTTGGGGACTCAGCATTTGAAGATCATAATTCCACCCATTTATGCACATTGGTCCTTTACTTTGCTTAGAAAGGATCAGTGGTAGATAATAATTATGGTAATTTTATAGTTCAACATATATCCTGTGGTCAATAAATGAGTAAAGCCTTTTCCTCTTCTGGGTTGGGAGAAGCAGTGTATTAAAGTAGGGATATTTTTGGGAGCTTCTCCAGTCAAGAGCCGCCTGGCTCTCATACATGGAAAGGAAAGAAATTAAGAGAACATGAAGGGAAAGGATTTAAGACATTGAGAAAAGGATTTTGAATCGTATTATATGGTGTAAATAGGGAAAATAGATCTTGAATTGATTCACCTTGATTAACATCGACTATGGGAAATAAGGGTATTTATTCCTTTTCATTTTCTTAATTCATGGAAACCAAAGGGGCCCCTTGAATAGTATAAAGATTTAGATGGATAGGATTTGGGAATTGTTTTTTCCATGACAAATAGCTTTCTTCTGCCGTATGTTATAAGAGTCTCATATCAATTATGAATTGGAAAATTTTCAGTAAGAACATTGGCTTGTTAATGAACTGAATTATAAGCGATAGGTTTCTAATGCATAGTAGAAGTAGATACATTGATTGGAATGACAAAAGGAATAGTTTTCTATTCAATACACTATCTCTCTCTTTCTCTAATTCTATCTGCTAGAGTCAAAGTGAAAGATCCTAGGCTCTGAGATCATCATTCCCATTTTATTTCAGTATATATCATGAATTCATGATTGTTCTCAGGATTAGTCATGCTAATTGATGTGAAACGCCGTCGCTGATAATGACCTATGGCTATCAATGTCCTATACAAAATAAAGAAACCGAGGTGTTAGTGTTTTACTTTGATCAAGAGCTTGGCTGAACTTATAAAGAAATACCTCAAGATCCACTGGTTTCTCTTTTTGTATTCCTCTAAATGCAAAGACCAGCTGGACAATGTGCTTTTCACCATGGTCAATCTTTCCTCTTTGGATTGAAGGTTAGATTTCCAATTTTGAGTCTTTTATGGATCTTCTCAGTAATTGGGTCTCAAAATTAATTTCTCTGGGAAGGATCCCCAAATATAAAAACCTGCATAGAAGATGGAACTGCTGACAGCTGCATTTCATGCCCATGGAACCAAAAAAAAAAAATCACAAATGTTACATTTCCAAGCCAACTAGAGCTGATTGAATTTGATCTTTTCAAATACTTGAGGGCAACACCTCAAGTTTCCTGTTGCTTGCATCATATCGACTATACTTGGATATTAATGATCAGTTTTTTATTCAAAGAATAGGCCCATTTTTGTTGACAAAACAAATATCTTTTCAAGTATAAAGTGCTATCTATTTCTGTACCACTACTAGGTTGCTTTTTCTTTCTAGGTTTTTCATAACTGATCTTAAATAATCTACATTAATATCTGTTGTATATTTGAGGGAATAAAATCAGTTTTTTCTTGAACATCTGACCCAAAATTTTCTAGCCAAGTTCCTTTTTCTTCTGATCCAATTTTATTTATTTATTTATTAGTATTTTTTTTACTGAAAAATTCCGTTTCATCAGCAAAGAGCAAGTCATAGACTTTAGAGTAGCTTTTGTTTTCCATAGACCTGGCTATAGCCCCTCCACCACCCCCCCCCCCCCAACCCCCCCACTGAACTTTTATTTCTTGTTGAATTAATTTGAGCATCCTTCACCAAAAACTTAAGAAAGCTTCAGAACTTTTAAAATTTTGCATTATATATTGAGTGTTGCTGCACTGAGCTTTTTGAGCCTACAGCTATACATATATGAAAATGATGTGCCTGTATTTAGGTTGAAGGAACCTTTTGAATTCATGGGATGCATTCATTGTTATTTAAGCGGTAATTACAATAGTTAATTCTTGTGTGTAGCTGTATTCTATGTTTGTGCAGTCTAAGCTACTATTAATATGGCATGAATGGGAAACGATGTTGAAGATGTTTCTTTAGAAATATGATTATTTGCTATCTCTGTGCAGATGTGTGACATCCTATTCTCCCAGCTCTGCCTGAAAGTCCCTCCAGCATCTACAGATGCAGGTCATCTTGGTGGAGGTTCTAATACCATGGATATGAACAATAAGGCCAATTTAGGCGAATGCGTTCCCTTGCAAGAGACTATTCATCGTAGAGGACTTGAGGATGTTGATAACTCCTGTAGATCATTAGTTTGTGAGACATCATCGATGGCCGCTTTGCTTCTTCAAGGAAGTGTTGTTGTTCCACTGCAGTTGGTTGCACGTGTTCCAGCTGTTTTATTTTATTGGCCCTTGATTCAACTTGCTGGTGCTGCCACAGATAATGTTGCTCTTGGAGTTTCTGTTGGCAGCAAGGGAAGAGGAAACCTCCCGGGCGCAACGTCAGATATTCGTGCTGCCCTTCTTTTACTTCTAATTGCAAAATGCACAGCAGATTCTGATGCGTTTCAAGAAGTTGATGGTGAAGATTTTTTCAGGTAATATCTCGTTTGTCTGTAAGAAATTTATATTGTCCATGAGTAAGTCAAAGAAATGAGCACTTTCTCTTTTGCAGACAACTTTTGGATGATACGGATTCGAGGGTGGCTTATTACTCTTCTGCCTTCCTTTTGAAGGCAAGAAATTTTATTTTGTGTCTAATTGTTCTTTTATATGTGTGACTTTAGTCTCTTCGCTATTATTAATATTTACAAATAGTTCTGTATATGTAATTGCAGAGGATGATGACAGCAGATTTTGAAAATTACCAACGTAGACTTCAGCAACTTGTTTTTAGGGCTCAGCAGGTATAGTCTAACTACTTCCTCCATTTTTTTTTAATCGCAACATTTGAGATTTTGCACTATTCACACAAGCTCCTTTAGCCACCTTTTGTGATCTATATGTTAGAAATCCATAGTCATGTACTCATGTGGGATCTTGTTAGATTTGTCTTGATTTATACTTTCACAATATTAATTTTTTTTTTTTTTTTTTTTTTTTTTATATATAATTTTACTAATGTAGAATAAAAGATATTAATGATATAATATGTGCATTGGCAAGTGTGAATGACTGTTGTATTACCAAGGATAAAGAAAATAAGTACGCGTGGTTGCATGCATGACGTGACTATATACAACTCTGTTTTATCTCCTGTTTTGGTATTATGCTGGATCTATCACCTAGCTTGACTCTCCTTATCATTTCTTTTTAACTTTATACTGCAGAGCAACAATGAGAAACTGTTGGAGAACCCATATCTTCAGATGCGTGGGATACTTCAGTTGTCAAATGATTTTGGAAGTGGATTGTAATGAAAGAGATTTTGAGACGTTGCTTGTCTCTCAATGCTCTTGGTCTTCTTTTCTGTAGTTGAATGAAGCAGAGAATGTGGCTGAGATGTGGGGTTTGGAGCAAAATTGTGTCTTGGTTTTGGCCATTTGCTGTTTAGGATGGGATGCCCTACTTTGGCTCCCACATTTCGGGTGAGAGGTATCAACGAAGATGATATAAGGCCTGATTACTCTTCAGTAGCTAAAAGAAATGAAGTTCAACATTGGGGTGAAGTTCAGGATTAAGGATGCAATTATGAATTGAAATTGTGAGCAGAATTGCTGTAAAATTTTATCAGAGTAGCTCACATCAGTTTATGTTCCTCATTCCTTTGGTTGCTTCACTCACATAAGACTTCGTCTGCACAGGTATTACTGCTTCCTATGTAGTTGTTTCAGTTTTAATAGTTGGTCGTTTCAGGTAGATTTGATATTTCCACAGTTTACTCTGCAAAAAGTGCTCTTTTCTTTTGTTATTTAATTTTAATTTATATATTTTTTTTTTATCATTTTTGGTTTAACACCTGAATTGTTTCTTCAATCAAGTAATCCTTGAATCAAGGGTAGTTGATTTAGAAAATACTAGGACTCGAAGCACCTATTAGAGCAAACCAATAGTGAGTTCTAAGAGTCAATCAAATAGATTTTGTTTACTCTCTTCTTACAACATGTCTAGCCAGCCAGCAATTGGACCTGATTGGTCCTCGTAAGGCTTCCCCTTCCTTGAACCAAGAGGCTTGGACTATTAGTCCGCTTAGAAAACAAGGCTCAGGACAGGGGCCTTACCGTCTCTTAGATCAGACTTTGCTTTTCCATGCTCAAGGCTCCAGGCTAGAGAAAGGATATTGTATATCCGCTGCTAGGAAAAGGACTTAAAAGGCTGACAATAGGTTGTGACTTAATGTGAAGACTTGAACTACATACATACATACTTTTAATTATCGGTAAAGCCACTGTCATATTGGATTACGATAACAAGCACATGTGCCACCCTCTTTTTTACTCATTCTAGGTCAACCCAAAGAGAACCCGGTACTTGGTTGGAATATAAAGGGCTTTTGTTCATGAGCTAGCTACATATTTGATACAAGTATTTGACTATTGACTCTTACACGATTTATTGGACATTCAACAAATGAGAATGATAGAATTTTGTTTGATCGTCTTTGTTTTGGTTTAATTTACACTTTATTGTGGCCTTGTGCGTGCGCATGTGGATTCTTCTTGTAATTTTTTTTCTAGTGAGACCTATTTTCCGTAGACAAAACTTGTAGATTATCATTTTTGGGAATTGATCTTGATCCTCACCCATATCTTGAAACACCACACCTCTCTCTTGGTGGTTGGCAATCCAAAGAAATCAACCAGACATTTTGTTTATTTATATGTTTCTGTTCATGAATCGTTTGAGTCAACTGCTCCCATAGATTGAATATGTTGATTGTTGTGTTTTAGATTATATTTGTTAACCTACACAATCTTGCTTGTAAAAATCTGTACTTGGTGTTTTCAACATTGTTTCTAATTACTGGTTTCCCAGATCTGGATACGATGATTGGTTCATTTTTGGAGAGTTATTGCCTGAGTAATACCCTCTGTTAATTGTACACTGGAAGAAGAGAATCTTGGAAAAGAGATCCACCCTTATACATATTTCCAGAATTCCTTACGGCGATTTTTATAAGCCTGGTGAAGCCTCCCTGGCTGACGATTTTAATAAAAGTTTAATGGAACTCGGTGACAGCTTGTAACAATGACTTCTTGTAGCATAATGGTCAACTTTGAAGCTAGAGATAGATGGGAAGGGTGCACATCTCCGCTTTTAAGGGGCTGCTTCCACCAGAAAAAAGGCGTCAATATGATACACCTGACACCTATTTTCCTTAACACCCATGTAATTTATTCATTTGATTTGCGCTGTAAATTTGTAGTTTTGCCTTTCTTCCTGATGCAGTTTTGTAATAGGCAATCCAGTTATTTACTTTTTTTTTTTCCTGATATGTATCATATCCAATTTTGACGTACATTGGGAAATTATTCACCAAGTATGTTGTAATTTTTGACATCTTGTATAGTGAAATGTTTCAATGCAAAGCTTGATATCAGGTTATGAAAACATGTCGCCTTTCCGGTTTATACTGATCCAGCAAGTACATTGCACAAACTAATGTCGATACGTGTACAACTGTACAAAGGCATATTTCAGCAACGCCATTTTCATTTATGGCAGCCAGAAGAACGGTCTAATAATCAATTAGTCATGCATATGGGTTATCTGTTCTTACAAGACACGCATCATTCAACATTGACAAAGCCAAATTCTGAATCTCTTTTTATCTACAAGTTTTTCTAAGATTCTTTTTAACGTTTTTTTTTACATGCCAAAATTGACTATCTTTTTGCATACAAGTGATATAACTCATTTTCTTTCTTTTTTCTTCTACTTTATTAGTTTTTCTTGTGATAGGGAGACTTTTATATTTTAATGATCCATTCCTGTGATAGGGGGGTTATTAGACCCGTGAACCTTATCAAAAAAAAAAAAAATGATGTAACTCTCTTTTATCCCCTTTTTTTCAAGCACCATTTGACCTAAAAAAAACACTTACAAGTTACAACATGTGTGCCTGTGGTGCCAAAAAAAGGGACAAAAAGACTTGACTCTTAGAACCTAAGAAATTAATCCTAATTCTAAAATGAAAAAAAAAAAAAAAAGTTATACAAAAGTCATACTCCGTATTTTTTTAATTGTTACACTTTGATTTTTTTCACTATTCACATAATGATTTTGACTTGATTATTTTACTAATGCTACATATTGATACATAGTATTGTATAATACGTTGTTGGATTCGGCATAATGTATATTTTCAGGATATCAATTTTTATATAATTATACTAATACATAATTTGATAAATTGGTCAAAGTCGTGCCTCACTAAACATATTTAGTCAAGTGTAAAATCACAGAGGGAGTAGAAATAACCTAAGTTTCTAGTTTTTAATATCAAATTTTCAAAACTACTCCGTATCATATCGTTTTGGATGGATTTACCGGCCATCTTTGTCTAGTGTCACAAACTCTGTCTTCACATGGAGTAGTTGTCAAAAACAGTTATACAGTTTTCAATAACCAAAAATTTGGCTCCATTCATTTTAATTTTCATGCCACTCTTAATTACTCCCTCCGTCCCTTTATTAGATGTCTATTTTTAGCATTTATTACTCACATAATATAAAGAAGTAGACATCTAATTAAAGGATGGAAAGAGTAAAACATTAAAGCAATGAAAATTACTGTAGCAATTATAGTAATTAGTCAATCAATCTCTTTAAAAAAATCATACCCAACCACAATCAAGTTTATCAGCAGAAGTCAACTAAATAGATTAAAGTAATCAAAGGCGATTAAGAGTACTTGGTTTAAAATCAAATCTCGTATCCATCATTTGCGATTATGATCATCGCTCCAAACTATCGGGGCTATTTTCAACGACTTACCATAAATACTAATCCTTCTTTTCTTCCATTCCTCCATACCACACAAGCAGTGAAATCATTAAGAGGAGAGAGAAAATTACAAAGAAGAGAAGATGTGCACAGTAGAGAAACGAGGCAATCTCTACATCTTAACCTTAACGGGCAACAATGAACATCGTCTAAACCCAACTTTAATCAGCTCAATCCGATCATGTCTTTCCCAAATCAAATCTCAATCCCTAAAATCCAAAACCCCTTCTGCCCTAATCACCACCGCACACGGAAAATTCTTCTCCAATGGCTACGACGTCGCCTGGGTAAACTCCTCTTCAAACCCTAAACTCTCCGAAAAAATCATGGATTCCCAATTACAAGCCTTAATTGCTGAACTAATCTCATTTCCAATGCCGACAATCGCCGCCATTAATGGGCACGCATCAGCAGCTGGATTTATCCTAGCAATGGCGCACGATTTTGTATTGATGAGGAGAGAAAGAGGGTATTTGTATATGAGTGAGGTGGATATTGGGTTGGTGATTCCGCCATGGTTTATGGCTGTGATGAAGTGTAAGATCGGAGGAGGGTGGGAAGGGATGAGGAAGGTGGGGTTAATGGCGGAAAAAGTTACGGCGGAGAAAGGGAAGAGAGAGATTGGGATTGTGCATGAAGTGTTCGAAGGAGCGGCGGCGACGGTGGAAGGGGCGGTGGAATTGGGGGAGGAGTTGGTTAAGAGGAGTTGGGATGGGGTTGTTTATGGTGAGAATAGGAAGGTTTTGTTGAAGGAAGTTTTGGATTTGATTGGTAATAATGAAGGTTTGGATTTTGATTTTGATGATCATGTGATTAAGTTTAAGCCTCGTCTTTAAAGAGGTAGTCTCGGTTTTTCTCCTGTTAGCATGATGTCGTTGTAATTATATCAACATTTGTGTAACCGTGTTTAATGAAATGTCGTTGATTTACTTACAATTTTGTCATTTGACCAAGGAGATTAGGTGACAAATTGTAAATAAACTTGTAAATTCTATGTAAGGCTTGATTTATTGATTATCGACGCCTAGTCTTTGAGCTTGGTTTATTGTTCTTTTTTGTGTTTTTGTGTCAATATATTGAGTGAGAGAAAGATATGGATGTTGTTTTAGCATTATATGTAGATGTGATTGTCAAGTGATTGATTTAAATTATGTGATGTTTGTTAATCTTAGACAGAAGGAGTTGTATTTATGTATATTAGTTGTGTCATCGCACGCTACGAGAGCAATAATCCAATTTTGTTAAATTATTGTTGGTTATTATCTAAAACATTACAATTAAAATAGAAAATATTCAACAAATCTCGTAATAACTGATACTACCGTATTTTCAATAACATAAAAATAACTAACACTACTTTTTTAATCCATTAAAAAAAAAAATATTAATCGTGAAAAATACTTTATCAATAGAGATATTAGAGAGTAAAGAGGTAAAGAAGTAGTGTAGTAGTGCTCTAGTTATATTTTTGCTTGTGTAATTTACACTTACATGACTTTGTATATATAAGCCATGAAAAATGCTAAAATTACAATAATTACTCATATGTAGTCATATGAGTTCACAAGTTTTTGGACCTATATGAGCATTGTATAATCAAATCAATAATTGGCATTCACCTTAGACTTATCTTCTAACACTCCCCCTTGAATACCAGTGGCGGACTCAGGAATTTTCGACTGGTGAGTCACAATCGATAACCAAATATATAAAAAAAAATTTGACAACATGACAAGCTTAGCTCTCTAATAATTGACAAGATTAAAATCTGTACAAGCATTAGGGTGTATTGACAATTTGACAAACATAATTGACTATATCATTAGGATGGATCGACTATATCATAAGCAATCGTCCGAATCGCCAATCAAATCAGCACATATATATGCAAAACCCCATATGAATCTACCAAAGCAAATAATGTATTGACAATTTGACAGACAAAATTGACATCAGTAAACACCCTAAATAAACACTGACTACAATTCACATGGTAAAAAAGGTCAAATTTCATCAAAAACCCAACAACATTAACAAAAGGTTCAAAGTTTACCAAACAAACAACAACAAAATCAACCAAAGAAAATAATTTTTTTTTTTTTAAAAAAAAAAAAACTTAGAAATTTTTTTTGGGCCCTGGTGAGTCATTTGACTCACCATGCACAAGGCCAGGTCCGCCAATATTGAATACCCATACTCATACAGAAAAAAGGTATACATTGTATCATTAAAAACCTTGCTAGGTAAAACCCTATGGGACAAAAACTATAGCTAGGGAAAAAGAGTACAACGGTATTATATTATATGCTTTGATATACTGCCTCGTTAAAAACCTTGTCAGGAAAAACCCTGTGGGATAAAAACCTGATCAAAGGGAAAAAGAGTGCAGTGTATATAATACTCCCCTTGATTTCAACATAGTTCACGAAGATGTCGCATTCCAATTTTGTGAACTAATTGCTCAAATTTCTTCGAAGGAAGTGATTTATTGAACAGGTCGACAAGGTTGTCACAAGACTGAATTTGCTAGATATCTATTTCCTCATTCTTTTGCAGATCATGTGTGAAGAATAGTTTTGGGGATATATGTTTTGTTCTATCTCCCTTAATATATCCTTCAGTTACTTGAGAGATGCATGCTATATTATATTGTTTTCAAAAATGATGATTGGATTTTCTGTTATTGTGTTCATTCCACATTCTTCTTGGATATTACTGATCATCGACCTCAGTCATACACATTCTTGTCCTACTTCATAAAGAGCTATCAACTCTGCATGATTCGAGGATGTTGCGGTCAATGTTTGCTTTGTTGATTTCAGTGATATTGCAGTGCTGCCATAAGTGAACAGAATTCCAGTTTGTGACTTGGCATTTTGTGGATCTGATAAGTATCTAGCGTCTGCATACCCAATAAGAGAAACATCTCGTTTTGGTTGATAATATAAACCAAGGTCTTGTGTCCCTCGTAGGTTCCGGAGTAAGTGTCGGACTCCCTTCCAATGTCTGAAAGTCGGTGCATTATTGATGTACCTGGCTAACAAGTTTACAGAGAAAGCTATCTCGGGTCTAGTGTTGTTAGCTAAGTATATTAAGGCTCCAATTGCACTTCAGTATGGTACTTTTGGACCCATAATTTCTTCATTTTCCTCTCGGGGTCTGAATGGATCATTTTTCATATTCAAAGAACGAACAACCATTGGAAAGTTGATTGGAGTTGCTTTGTCCATGAAGAATCTTTTCATAACTCTTTCTGTATAGTTTGATTGATGGACAAAAATACCATGACTTAAATGCTCAATTTGCAATCCAAGGCAAAATTTAGTTTTTCCAAGGTCTTTCATCTCATCAAATTCTTTCCATCAAGTATTTTACAGTTTTCTCAAGTTCATTCGGGGTTCGGATGATTTTCAAATCATCAACATAAACTGCAGTAATAGTGAATCCTGATTGTGATCGCTTTATGAAAACACAGGGACTAATTTGGTTGTTCTTGAACCCTTCTCTCATAAGGTATTCACTGAGAGGGTTATACCACATTCTTCCAGATTGTTTCAATCCATAAAGTAACCTATTTAGTTTTATGGAAAGCAATTGTCTAGGCTTGTGGTTTTTTGGTAATTTTAGTCCTTCGGGAAATTTCATGTAAATGTCTGTATCAAGTGACCCATACAAATACGCAGTCACTACATCCAAATCGCATTTGCAATCCTTTTATGACTGTCAAACTTAACAGAAATCTTAATGTAGTTGCATCAAGTACTGAAGAGTATGTTTCTTCATAATCAATCCCTGGAATTTGAGAAAAACCTTAGGCTACAAGTCTTGCCTTGTATCTAACTATCTCATTTTTCTCATCACGTTTTCTCACAAATACCCATTTGTATCCAACGGATTTTACACCTGCTGGTGTAAGAGTTATTTTTCCGAAAACTCCTCGTTTTTCAAGTGACTTTAACTCAGCTTGCATTGCCTCCTTCCACTTTGGCCAATCACTCCTGTGTCGACATTCTTCCACTGTTTTTGGTTCAACATTATTTTCATCAGACACAATGTCGATTGCAATGGAATATGCAAATATTTTATTTACGATTATATCTTTTCTATTCCAATGAATTTTGTTAGAGACATAATTCATTGAGATTTCATTGTTATCGATGTCTTTGTCATCTTGTTCATTCCCCGAGGGGTTGTCTTCTTGTTCATCCCCTTTTAGATTATTTTTCATTTTCTTTACTTTCATCCACATTTGGTCTTTCTTGCCTTCTGACGGGGGAACATCATTACTCTCACTTTCTATTCCATCCAATCTATTCAATTTCCTTGGATTAGAATTTTGAACCAAGTGGTCTCTGTAACACCCTAGAAATTTCTTTCCCTTAAAAATACCTATTTTGCTCTTTTTAAAATACGAAATAGGAATTCTATGACATTACTGCCACCGTGAAAACGGCTAAGACAACTATAAAAAACTCACGGCGAAAGACTCTCTTTAAAAACCATTCAAAACAAGTCAACTTAAAAATTCAAACCAAATGAAAGTAAAGTTAAGCCAAAGTCAAACGAAATCAACCTACAACTTGGAACCATTATAGGCCCTTATCAAAACCGAAATAAACATTAAAACCTTTGTGTTAGTCTCACAACCAAAATATATGATAATCAAAGCAACAAACCACATCATATTCTTATGGAAACTAAACATGATTCGCTCATGCCCATCATGAATATGGTTCATCACTGGAAAAGCTTCTCTTTACTTTGTCCCCACTACTCGCCATTAGAAATGGGTCGTCGTACGGCTAAGATAAAGACAAGGCCAAACAAACATACAAACAACAATCAACAATATTGAGTACGTAAGCATAAATAGTATATACTAACATGCTTTCATCCTATCAACACACAACTTACCTTGTTGCACTTGTTTACAAGCATACAACACAACCAACCAATAAATAGATAAATAAATTGCTTATTTAATTTGATTACCATCAAACGAGTTTCCCACTTAATCCTTGCCCCAAATAATTGGGGTAAACTACACCAGGAGCAAACTGGGTGGGCAAATGTCACATGAAAGTGATGGACGTCTTGCGCATAAAATAATAAAAGGAAAATACAGCGACCTATACTCCTAGTAGAAGCTATGGTTAAATATAAAACCCCATAACTCCCCCCATATGTCCATACTCAAGGTATATACGTTCCAAGAGTTTGGTGCGTAATCTCTAACACTTTACGTTGTTTACATATTTTGGACTTAGTGATGACTCTTAAATCATAATACAATCAATCATAATAAATCATTCAAGCATCCAAACATATCAATTTAGTTCTTGAATAATTAGTGACCACATAAATTTAATGTTGAACCCTTTATAAACTACCTCGGCGTTAATATAACACCTTAAGTGCATAAAACACCGCAAATCCTATCCCGCGATGTTTAGAACACCTTAAGTGCACTTAGGCACCACAATATATTTTAATCCTTTGTAGTAAGACACTTAATAGTTCAATCCTCATGCTTAAAGCATCAATAAAAATTATACGAACCATAATAAAATTTCCTTTTTATCTTCCAAACCAAATTAAACATTTAGTTTAATTAAACATGCTCTCAATCATGCAAATAATAAAAGTGTGGTTCATAATCAATATGCCAACATGATTAATTCTAATCACCAATTCACCATAAATTATTCATACTTCACAAATCAATCACCAACATCAATCCAATCAACAATTCCAATGATCAATACCTATCATGATACTGCTTTGGAATTAATTAATCAAAGCCTAACATGCTTCTACACACTTAAATAATTACCGAGTACGCGAACGTACCTCGAATATGATCTCAAAATCGCCACGACTAAATGAAATCACTCACTTGGAAGTCCCCTACAACCCAAAATTACAAAGAGTCATTAATATCTATTCAATATAAATTTCCAGCAATATAGACTCTCTTTAAGTCACTCCTAAACCCTCTAGAACATGCTAAAAATTAATTTAAAACCCCTGCTTTTAATCCTAATTAATGGGTAATTAAAAATCCTTTCAAGAAACATAATTCTAACCTTTATATAAAAATTCCAACTTTATAAAAACATGTAAAATTGTTGTAATTATGTTTTAAAAC